AAGATAAAAAACAGACCTTAAGTCAAAAGCTAGAAAAGCAATCAAAAAGAGTAATCATGGGCGGTGGTGGCACACACCTTTAATCCCAGCACTCTGGAGGCAGAGGCAGGCAGATCTCTATAAATTGAGGCCAGCCTGGTCTACAGAGTGAGTTCCAGCCAAAGAAACCCTATCTTAAAAAATGAGAGACAGAGAGACAGAGAGAGAGAGAGAGAGAGACAGAGACAGAGAGACAGAGAGAGACAGAGACAGAGAGACAGAGAGACAGAGACAGAGATGACAGAGAGACAGAGAGTAATCATGTATGATAAAAGGTTAATTCAGCAAGGTGATACAAGAGGCATAAAGATATTTGTACCCAATATTGCTGCTCCTAAAGCTGATAGACTTCAAAGGGAGAGGTACACTCCAACACAGCAGCAGTAGAGCACTTAATATTCTACTTTCAGCGTAAGTGAAATACCCAGATGAAGTTAACAAAGAAATGTAGAGCTAAACCGTACCCTGGTTTAACCGAAGATTCCAGCAGACATTCATAGACTAGTTCATCCAACAGCTGCAAATGCATGGCCTCCTTAGCAGCACGTGGAAGACTCCATATGCATCTTAGAGTTGCCCACAAAACCAAGCAAGCATTAACAAATTTAACAAAATGAAATCACATCAAGTATCATTTTGACCACAACAGCATAAAAGTAGAAAGCAGCAACAAGAGACACTTGGGATACTAAATGAATACAGGAAATGGAACAACACAGTCCAGAAAGACTCGGGGGCTGTGTCCACGCAAGTGCCACCGAGAAGGAGTGTGTGTGTGTGTGTGTGTGTGTGTGTGTGTGTGTGTGTGTGTGTGTGTGTATGCATGCACATGCATATGCATGCGTATGTGTGTGTGTGTGTGTGCATGCGTGTGTGTGTGTGTGTGTGTGTGTGTGTGTGTGTGTGTGCATGCACAAGCATATGCATGCGTGTGTGCGTGTGACGACAACCTTCAGGAGTCGGTTCTCTCCTTTCATCAGTAGGATCGGGGATCAAACTCAAGTTGTCAGGCTTGACTGCAAGCAGCTCACGGCTGAACCATTTCACTAGCCCAGAAATTATAAAATTTATTGAGACAAATGATAACGGCAATATAGTATGCCCAAAATTATGTAATTAGAGCGAAATTGAATGTAGAGAAGTTTATTGGAATCATCACCCACCACCAAAAACAAAGACTTCAGGCCTGGGGAGATGGCTCAGTGGTTAAGAGCACTTACTGCTCTTGTAGAGGACCCGGGTTTGATTTCCAGCACCCACAAGGTGACTGACAACCATCTGTTAACTCCAGTTCCAGGGGCCTCTTACACCCTCCTCTGGCTTCTGCAGGCACCAGGCATGACATGGTACACACACATACACGTAGGCAAAAAATACTCAGACACACACACACAAAAAAAAATTAAAGATTTCAAATAAATAACCTAATATTGTACCTCGAGGAATGAATAGACAAACAAAAATAAGACTGACCCAAATTCCAAGTTAGCAGTAAGAAAAATATTAAAGGAGTGCAAAAATAAGTAAAATAAAGATTAAAAATACAAATGATGAATGAAAGAAGCTTTAAATCAGTGTGAACACATGGGCACATATATAATGATGGTGCAAGGGCATGCACATTCATGCCACAGGCAGAAGACAACCTTGGGGTCACCCTCAGAAATGCTGTCCACCTCCTTTGAGACAGGGTCTCTCACTGGCTGGAGCTCGCTAAGCAGGCTATACTGACTAGCCACGAGTCCTCTCCCGTCTCCACTTCCCCAGGGGTGGGTTTTTAATGTGCACCCCACGCCCAGCTTTTTATGTGGCTTGCAAAGGTTCAAACCCAGCTCTTCAGGCTTACGAGGCAAGCACTTTACCATGAGAAAACTCATATAAATAAAAATAGAGACTAAAAAAGAGACATTAGGATAGATACCACAACCATAAAAAGGATCATTAGATAAAATTATGAACAATTGCATGCCAACAAATAAAAAACAGCAACAGAAGAAATAAACAGATTTCTGAACATATACAACTTACCAACACTGACTAAGGAAAAATTAGATGCCCAAGGAAACCCATAAAAATAAAGGATGAGATTGAATCAATAATAAAACGTTTCCCATTGAAGAAAAGCCCAGGACCAGATGGTTCCACAAACATTTAAAGATTAACACTAATTCTTTTCAAACTCTCTTTTAAACATATGAAGGGAGAGAACTCTTTCAAATTCATTGTTTGGGGCCAGCAATATTTTGATAAACAAACCACCACAACAAAGGAATAATAAAGATCAATATCCTCGAGGAATATGTTTGCAAAAGTCCTGAGTTAAATGTTAGTAAATGAAGCCCAACAGCACATTCACAAGTTGTCTCACTGTGGCCTGTTGAGATTCACTCCAGAGTGTAGGATGCTCTCCAGGGCAGAAAGCAGTGAATGTCTCCACACTCACAGAACAAGGGACCAAAGCCATAGCATCACCTCCACAGACACAGAAAACACATTTGCTTGGAGAAAATTCTAGTCTTACAAACTTCCATTAGTAAAAAAAGAAAACTAATTTTGAATTTCAAAAAAAATCTTACTCAAAAAGATGGAAGCCCCAGGAGAAGACAGAAAAATATTTCGAACATGAAAAGAGATGGCAAGACATTTGGAAGCAGAAGCTGGTTAGTTAAGAAAGTAACATACATTAGACCAGACTGCTAGGTAGTCTAAGAAGGAAAGCCTGTATCAGGAAAATATGTAACGGGTTAATCTCGAAAGCATGAAATTGAAAGAATCAAAATAGTACTTTGTTCAGTTCCATACTGATACAGTCTAAAACATGAATGAAATGCAAGTGTTTGTCTAGCTAGACAAGGCTGTTTCAAGGAGAACCACAGAGATTAAAATTCACTTATTTTCAGACCATAATAGAACAGCTATGATCACACATCTACTCTGAATGGTTCTCAAGAGGAATTCTTGCGAGCCTTCCTGCATTATCTGTGGTCATGTTTGCTACAATGCTTCATATGTGCTGTGTCAAGTTAATTACATATACTACTGATATATTAAAAGCAGATATAAAGCTGCTTATATTGTAGTTCCTGAAATAACTAAGAAAAAAAAAACACCCCTCAAGTCAAGTCCAAGGCAAAGTAATTAATACATCTGAAATTCTGGATGGCTAGGAGCTAGGAAGTAAGAGGGGCAGAAAAAACAGGGAACAGATGAAGGCAGGAAGGGCAGAATATGCTGGAAGGATGACCTGGCCACCAGATGGAGGAAGCCAGTTTTTGCCAATAATAATTTCGATTTTGTTTGTAAGGTAATGGCAATTCAACACTGGTTTTGCTCATACTATCACACACATCTTAGGGAAGCAACTTGTGAAGCCTTGTGGTAACACCCTAAATGCAGTAAACACTTATGAACAAAACAGTTAAATTCTCCTAATAACGGGTAGTAATCACCATGCAATTATAGCGAAATCCAGTATCATCACTTAAGAAGGAGAACTCAGCACAGAGCACCCCCACTTCCTGTTTGTTCTTTCCATTAGTGGCGGTGTGCTTAAAGCTCCTTCCCCTCCCTGGTAAAAATAAATCGGCAATGCTTTTATCCCCTGGTCCTGACGTGAGGAGAGTATTTCAGAAGAGCCATTGTATTTACGCCCACACCTACTCCACCTGCCAGTGACCTGGCGGTGCCTCCCATACTTGTAATACCTCCAAGGCAAGGTGATGCACTTTTGAAACTCTTACTCCAGGAAAAAAATCTTCTGTGATACTTTCAAAAGTTGGGACATCTTCGGGGAGAAACTTTGATAGACTAGCTTCCTGGACTGCTTCAATAATGACCAGAGACTCGTCTGCTTCAGAAAGCTTGTCACTGTAGAAGTTGAAGAAAACAAACCCGCGTCATTTCTGCAGAACCCTCCTGTGTCCCTGGTCTGAGAAATGAAAGGAGCTTTGGAAATTCCCCTAAGGAACACAAGGGAGGAAACTGCCCGTGTAGGCAGGAGAAGCTCCATCTCCCCAGCCATGTGCTCCTCCTTTCTTAATCCTCAGAATTGCTGAATACTTTTTAATGTGGTAAAAGAATGAGTTTTCCCCCAATGGTAAAAAAATGTTACTATTCTTCATTTCCATTTAGGAAAGATTTTAATTGCATATTCTTGCATGTCTTTAACAAATAAAGGAATTTTCAAGTATCTTTCCCTTTTCATTATTCAAGTGTTTTGTTGTGTATGTTCAGCCTACATGGAACTGTGTCCCAAGAAAAGTTTACATGTGTATATAATATACATATAATTACTATATTAGATACACATACGTATATACATATACTATAACATATACATTGAGATTATCCCTTCCACACCTCTCTTCCCCTTCCCATTAGTTCCCTTTGCTCTTCTACAGTTTTGTGCCTACTTTTATGTTATATATGCATATGTGATTTTATGTATCTATATGACATCTAGGAACTACAAATGAAAGAAAATATGATATTTGTCTTTCTGAGGTTGGCCTGATTTGCTCGGCTTGGCTTAAACTATGCTCTGATTTTTAAGAGGAGTTTATCCTAGACCATCCATGTCTGCATGCAACCATGGCGGTGTGCAGTGTAAGTTGCAAATATTGTCTGCCCTAGTTTGTCATGTTTTTCAAATCCACAGATGTCATTTCTAACTTACCTTTATAGAATCACCTTTAATATTTTGAGATGAGCAGATCTTTCTCTGTAGTTATAAATATGTTCTTTCGTCGAGTCTACATTTTTTTAATGTGTAGGTGTTTGGCCTGCATGTACGTCTGTGTACCACCTACACGCAGTGCTCACAGAGGCCAGAAGAGGACTGTTTCGGACAGTTGTGAGCTGCCATGTGGGTGCTAGGAATTGAACCCAGGACCTCTGGAAGAGCAGCCAGTGCTCTTAACTGCTGAACTATCTCTCCAGCCCCTATAGATTCTAGATTTTTGAGTTTTGGTTTTAAAAGTCATATGAGGCCTGTGACGGTCAGTATTGATTGTCAACTTAATGGGATACAGAATGACTGGGAGACAAACTTCTGCTCATGTCTGGGAATTTCTAGACTGGGTTAACTCTGCTCCACCCAAATGTGGGTGACCCCATTCTGTGGGGATCTGGTCTGAATAAAAAGGAGGAAGTGAGCTGAGTGTCCTCAAAGCAGATACAATGCTACCTGCTGCTCAGAGCTCCTGTTGCCACAACGGATTGGATTTTTGAGTCGACATAAACCTTTTCTTCCCCGAGTTTCCCTGCTCAGGTATTTTGCCATAGCAACAAGTAAGTCACTAACAGAAGGCCCAAGACTCAGGCTCTAACACTGGGAGAAGAGTCTTCTCTACTCCAAGAATATAAAAGACGATTTGCTCCTTCTAACAGTTTTACATTTGAGGTTTGTTTACATTTAAATCCCTCAATTATTTTAGAGTTTGTCTTGGCAAATGCTGTGGATCATGACTCCCACTTGACCTTTCTGCAGGTGGTGGCTAGTTTCCCACACCAAGCATCGAACAATCTAGTCTTGGTGATAGGTTTATGATACACTCCATGTCCCAGGCATACCGTCCTGGTGATAGGTTTATGATACAGTCCATGTCCCAGGCATACCGTCCTGGTGATAGGTTTATGATACAGTCTATGTCCCAGGCATACCGTCCTGCTTCCTGACTTGCTACACTATTTCAATACTTTGTCCACTGACAGCCAGTGCCACATGTTCAATTGGTGAAGTTTTGCAACATAGCTTAATCCTTAGTAAGGTACTTCTCCTTAATTTATCTTGCTTTTCAATATTTTAAAACTACTTTTGTTTATTTTTCCATGTGAATTTTAGAATCAGTTTGTCTAAAAACTAATAATAATAATAACAACAATAATAAACCTTTGCTTATCCTCAGATTACAGACACATTCAACATTCCTGGCCTTTTACGTGGGTGCTGGGGATTTGAACATGTGTCCCCATGTTTGTGGAACAAGAATTCACATACCCACCAAGCTGCCTCCTTAGTCTCCCGTTTGCTATTCTTAATATCTCCTTTCATAAATTAAAACTGGATATTTAAACTTTTATGATATTTGTAAGATGTTTTATGTTACAAGTGCTTTTTATTTCAGTTATTCACATTTGAATTTCACCGTGCAGTCTTGTTAGCTTCAGGAATACCCCCAGGTACTGAAGTCTGTGGATGTTCAAGCCCTTTACATAAAATGTTGTATTTGTTTATCGTCTACACAGTCTTTCCATGTACTTTGAACCATCTCTAGATCATTTAGATTGCCTAAAACGACACTAATTCTGTATGGCTAGCAATGCTCCATTGATTGCAGAATGATGATAACAAAAAGGGCGTGCCTGTTTCGTGCAGGTATGATTTTATCTTTCTCATTATTTCTCTTCTAGATGGGCCCTTCATTTCTCTTTATGTTTTATTACACATAAGTAGCACATGTCTTCTAAAGAATAGGCTCCACTGAGGATCAGGAATCCATGGCTCATTTTTGTTCTATGGATGCCAGTAAGTACCTGTCAGTCTATCTTACTGGGGTGCTCTGGTATCTTCCTGGTTTTGTTTGCTGCTGGTAGACATGTAAATAGCACAACAGGTGGCAATTGAAGTTGTAGGTGTCAGCCTACCAGAAGAAAACTCTCTGATGGGTAAACCTCATTGAGCAAGGCCACAAGGCTGCAGACTCTGGAGTGTCTTGCTTCTGTTGTCCCTCTACATGCTTGCTGCTACAATCTTTCCCTGGTATCTCGCATAGTGTGAATGGATGTAGGGAGTCCTCCGCTGCTTGTATTGTAGTGTGTTTATCTCATGAATACATTGCAATCTACTGGGCATTTTTATCTGTGGATTTTCAAGAAGATGATTCCTCTCTAAGCTGTACTGTCTAATTCATAATAATAATGATAGTCTATACAGAATTTTGATGAATATAAATACAAAGAAAGGTTACACAGTCAGAGCCTATGAGTTCTCCCTAAGGAGCTGCTTTAGATTACAGCCCAAGATAGATGATAAAGTAATTGATTCTTTCTTTATAACTACAATTTGCAGCCTGTCAACAAAAGAGTTGGCTGAGAAAATATGCTCCTTGCTTGCTCATGACAAGTTACTTAGATATATTGCATGTGAGTTGTTGAGATGACTGTTTTAGGGAGATTAAAAAAAAAACATGTCTTTACCTAAAATCATTCACTTGAGAAATGGAATGTAACCCCTTTGTGATGCCTGCATTGCCTGAAAGAGTTTGTTGGGGTATTTAAACAGTACAGGGAGAGAGAACAGGGGATAAAAAAAAAGGGAACCATCAATAGTGTGTGAATGTCTTCATTCCCAAACCCCTCAGATAGAAAAACAATGCTCTGATGCCGTGGATTTCTTTCAAACCCTGAGCTGCCTGAAGGCTGGTTCCCTCAGGCAGCAATAATAGCTTGCCTTATTTAAAATTCTACTAATTATTTATCCAGCAGTACGTAACTCTCTGAACCTAACATTAAATTCAAATTTCAACTGACCATTTACACTCCCGCTTCTTCTTTTCTGCCATTATTAAAACTGTCTTCAAGGTCTTCATGCCAAAATCATAATGCTCCTAAAATATAGTATTCAATATCTGAGTTACTATAGTTCTCAAGGAAAAATAGAACCACTTAAAACAGTCACATACATATGCACATTAATAACCATCTATCTCTAAAAGGAGACGTCTGTACGAATCCAGAAACCTCAACTCTACCTCCAATGCTCTTATTTCTCTTCTAAGCTGATGCTCCTGAAAGTCCTTGAGAGTCCCTTCGCCTCATGTCCTGAGCCTCTCCCTCTTCTTCCCCCTCTCTCTCCTTCCCTCCCTCCCTCCTCCTCCCTCCCTTTAGAGTTTTACTGCGTTATCCAGCCTTGAACTCTTGGACTCACACTTGGACCCACTGTTAGCCTCTCCAGGACTGAGGACTACAGCCATGCACTACTGAACTCTTTCTTAAAGGGGAGGGTGGCAAGTGTTAACATACAGCACCTGAGTTGCCCTGTCTGAGAACTAGGAAGGGAAGCTGGGAGAATAATAAGAGGAGAGGGTGACTTTGGAGAAAATGTGGTTTGCTGTCCAAACCATTTTAGGTTAGAAACAAATACCCAGACCCCAGAATGATTCTCAAAGAGTGTGGGGCTCAAATCTGCCACACCAGGAAGCGAGCTTGCAAGTGCCGTGCTCAGCTGTGCACTGAACACACACGGTCAGGCTGAGTGCTTGTTTTCCCACAAGTCCTCCCAGTCACTGAGATGTACACATTGCTGGAGAACACTGATCCAGAGGCTGACATCCACGAGCCGAGAGAGCAGGTGCGGTGTGAAGTTATCATATATGGCACCACTTTCTCCAGACCTTTGAGTAAAGGCCTAGGACCATGGATGCACAGCCACTTTGAAGACAGCAATTCCTGTTTTACGGTGGGCCTGGGCCTTTCTGTAACCAGCTTCATGCTTTATATTAAATATCTAGAGGGAGGCAGATCCTCACCTGCTTTGAAAGCTGCTTGTCAGCTAAACTGTAAAGGTTAACGAGCTTTCCAGACAGCGATCTTGAAGATTTGAAGCCAAATGAGAACAGAATGACTTCAATGATCAATGTGTACTGGGGCAGCATCATTGCCACTGGGCGAAACAGAGACTTTAAGTTACCCGGGAGCTCAGCTCGACCACTGTATCTAAAGAGGAAAAGAAAAACAGTAATAATAAAAACAACAATAAAAATCCAACTGTGCTTTCCTTTTTTTCAAAATTGAAACTATATTACTTTACCCCTAAATGATTCTATTGGCTTTCTGTGTGACCCTTATGTGAAAATCAGTTTACAAGGTGGTTTTTACCTTTCATCCCATGCTGGTCTAGCATATGTCCTGTGTCTCACTGTATGGCTCACCTCATCTCAGCTCCTTCTGATTCCTTGGACCAATGCAGCACTTGTTTAGATGTCTGATGAACCTAGCCTTAAGTCAGAGGCCTAGTGTAATCACCCATACAGACAGGGTAGAGATGTTAGATCTGTTCATAAAAAGAGGCAGCTGTGGGGCTGTGTCAGCTCCACAATATGGAACTCATATTTGGCACAATATGAGTGCTCAGAACCTGTGGCTGGACAGGGGTCAGCCCTACACACTATGGAACTGACTCCTACAACCTTACACTTATAGAGCAGTACATTTCGACCATCAGCAGAGAAGCTACTTTTACAGGAGATGGGGATGAGCACAGACTCACAACTTGTCAAGCTGAAGAGGACAGGAGACTGCAGAGTCCTCGGACATCAGTGTCATATCATCCCCCCTCCCCCCCCCCCCCCCCCCCCCCCCCCCCCCCCCCCCCCGCCACTTCCAACACTCCCTGGGGAAGAGTGGGTGGAAAGATTGCTAGACACAGAAGTGATAGGTAACTATAATGAAGCGGCGGTGTTTTACAAGATACTCAGGACACAGAAGGTAAAAGCCATCTTTTCAACTCATTTTCAGGTAAGTGTCACAGAGAAAGTCAACAGAATTCTTTCTGGGAGAAAGTATACCATTTCAAGATTGAGAAACTCTACACAATGGGGCGGTTGAACATGACCTCCCAATGGTTGGGACATCATGAATGTCTAAAACTTGTTTAAGATAAAACCAAACAAAACCCCATCATGGACAGGGGAGTCGGGCACTGAGTCTCATCCCTATTGGAAGAAGTACTGATAATTGATATTTGCAGGGGGCGGGGGGCAGGAGGGGGCATTTATTTTCTTTAACAGTGTGACCTCTGGTAGGCTGACCCTACTCCATTGGACAGCCACACACCCAAGAGTCCATAGGTAGCACTAACTGGATTTGATTTTTTTCTAAAACGAGGACACAAAGTTATATGGGTACAGAGTGGGGGGGGCAGGAGGAGGGAGGACAGGGGAATCCGTGGTGGATATGTAAAATTAAATTAAATTATAAAATAAAAAGAAAGTAAAAAAAAAAAGAATGAGGGGTGGATCTGGGAGGAGCTAGGCTGAAGAGTGAATATTATTGAAATACAATTATGAAATTCTCAAAGAATTAGTTAAAAAAAGATTCTGGAGAGTGAATGATAGATACACAGTCTTGGACAACTCCACCCAGAGCTAAGGTTAAAGAAACGGATTTCAGTCTGTGTATATTCTGTTAGACTCCTGACCGCTTACCTGGGGTTCATGGTGATGAACACTGCACATGACATATTGATCCGTACTTCTTTACCATCCAGGAGAAACCTAGAAGACAGTGAAGTGTTCATCATTAAAATCACTCCTCTAAGCCAGGTGGTGGTGGCGCACACCTTTAATCCCAGCACTTGGAGGCAGAGGCAAGTGGATCTCTGAGTTCAAGGCCAGACTGGTCTACAGAGTGAGTTCTAAGACAGCCAGGGCTACACAGAGAAACCCTGTCTTGAAAAACAAAAACAAAATCACTCCTCTAGGCCAAAGGGTATTAAAACTATAACAAATCAGAGGATTTTCTTAAGACTTTATTATACTTAAATCCAAATAAGCATACTAAAAACAACAATAACAGAGAGGAGACTGGGGCCCATTTTGAGCCAATGTTGACTTCTGCTGGGATTCAGGTATATTTGATTTTATCTAAAAGACATCTGAGAAGCTTTTGGGCCTGGATGGTAGAAGGCACCATCAGACAAAATGACCCACACAGGGAAGAGACCCTGGAATGTGGTGATATTGTGTTCCTCAAAATATTGTACACCCTAATAAACTTATCTGGGGTCAGAGAACAGAACAGCCATAATATTAAACATAGAGGTAGTAGCACACACCTTTAATCCTAGCATTCCAGAGGCAGAGATCCATCTGGATCTCTGTGAGTTCAAAGCCACACTGGAGACAGCCAGGCATAGTGACTCACACCTTTAATCCCAGGAAGTGATGGCAGAAAGAAGAAAGGTATATAAGGCATGAGAACCAGAAACTAGGGCTGGTTAAGCTTTTAGGCTTTTAGCAGCAGTTCAGCTGAGATCCATTCCGGATGAGGACTCAGAGGCTTCCAGTCTGAGGAAACAGGATCAGCTGAGAAGCTGGTGAGGTGAGGAAGCTGTGGCTTGTTCTGCTCTTCTGTACTTCCAGCATTCACCCCAATTCCTGGCTCCAGGTTTGTTTTTATTAATAAGACCCTTTAAGATTCATGTAACGCGCCAGGCGGTGGTGGCGCACGCCTTTAATCCCAGCACTTGGGAGGCAGAGGCAGGCAGATCTTTGTGAATTTGAGGCCAGCCTGGTCTACAGAGTGAGATCCAGGAAAGGCACAAAGCTACACAGAGAAACCCTGTCTTGAAAAACAACAACAACAAAAAAAAACCCAAAACAACAACAACAACAAAAAACAAAAAAAAAAAAATTGAAAAGATTCATGTTACACTGGAAGACCACAATGAGCTGGGTCTGGAAGACTCACTAGAACACAGTAGCTGACCACAGAGCTCCTGCTCAGAACACAGCTCACTTCCAGCCTCCCTTCGCCAGCTGAAACAGTGGGACCAGGGCGAGAGAGATGGCTCAGCACTGGCTGCTCTTCCTGCAGACCCAGGTTTGGTTCCCCACACCCACACGGTGGCTCAACCATCTGTAACTCCAGTGTGAGGGTATCCGATGTCTGTGGTACATAGACACACATGTAGGCAAAACACCCACAAAATAATAAAATCTCAAAAATTAAAAAAAAAAAATATTTGGATGGCTGCGAGACAGATGCTTTGTCAAAACCACTGGTATCCCGTCAGTGGCACCACGGGCAGAGACAAGGGCAGGAACTTCTGGGGTGACTTCTTACCAAAGAGGATGGTTTAAACACAAGAGGCAGACAACCAGGACACAGCTGGACAGAGGTTAAGACCCAGAAGAGGGTGGTAAAATGGGGGTTCCCGTGCCCCCACCTGTAGCCATGGACCTGTAAGCCCTGGTAACACTAACAGTATGAAATCCATCAGAGTAAAGTTAGCAGCTGTCAGCATGAGTTAGATATCTTCTATTTCTGAATGTCTATCTGTGTCCCTGAAGCCAGGAATGTGAGCGTCTACGTGTGTTGGAAGGGAAAACGTGTTTATTATTCATAAACAACAGTAGCCCTGACATACATACATACATACATTTTATTGTGGTTTTTTAAAAGAAACACCTTGGTTTAGAATGGTGAGGCGGGCTTCAGGAGAACAGCCAGTATTTTTGTTTTGAAATGGGTGTAGAATTAAAGAAAAACAAATCTATGCAGAATTAAGGAAAATATCCATAACTCTTGTTTGATTTCTCTAAGTGTAATATCTGAAGATGAAGGAGATTCTAAGATAGAAAGAAAATGTGAACTGGAGTGTATCTGCTTCAAGGGCTGGTGGCTCCAGGCTCCTCCAAAGTGTGAAAGGAGGGTGGGGACCTCTAAACTGGCATTCAAACTGAGACTAGATATATTCCACATAATTCACTAGGAACATTCAAGGCAAGTGTCATTCATTTTCCTGCATGCTAAGCAAACCAAACCAAACGAAAACCCAAAGACTCCAGCACTTATTTAAGAAAAGGACTTGGCACTAATTAAACAGTCGACATGTATGGGATTTCCACCCCAAGGATGTAATCCGAGAACACATACCTCACAGAATAGCTGTCTTTTGCAACCTTGATGCTTAGCAGCTGCGAGGAGATGACAGAGAGCACCTCTATATCTATTCGGTTGAATTCATCGAAACAACACCAAGCTCCCGATTGAACCAACCCTAAGAATAATTTGCCAATTATCTTGAAAAAAAAAAAAAAAGGATCGATTACAGAAACCATAAAGGTGAACATTTCCATTTCCACCTGGCTACTAAATTCTGTGTATTCTTTTCACCTTACCCAAACGAAGTAAACATCTTTTGCAATTTTCTCTCCATAGAAAGTTTATCAGTTGCTTAGACTCTAGGTGAGTTCACTGCTGTTTCTTTCAAAAGCTTAAACACAAACAGCAAGCTCCTGTGCCCCAGGACCACTGGCAGGTGATAGCCATCTGCACACAAAGCTATTCAGGTCTCAGAGCTGCAGCCTAGTGGTGTCTTTATGACCATACTGCAGTAGGTAGGGGTCAAGTGTCAAGGCAGATATCCTTCTCTGGAGTGGACAGACTCCTTGTAGTTTAGCTTGGGCTATAGGTGAGGCCAATGGTGGCAGGGGTTGAGGGTGAGGGTGAGGGGTTTGGAGGTGGGGGTCAGGGGGTAGAAGGGCAGGGGTAGGGAAGTGAGGGGGTTAGGGGGTAGGGGGTTGGGAAGCTTGAAAGCCGGTGTTGTTAAAACACCTTTGTATTAAGCGTCAATGTTCCGTTCACCAGGGGATATTCTAAGCTCTAATCAACATGTAAAACAAGTTGCAGAGCCGGCATGTGGCTCAGCTACGGAGCACTTGCTCAGACAGGCACCTGGGTCAGTTCCCGGCAGCAGGATACAAAGCCCCATCTGTAGTGCTGTGAGACTTGAAGTTCAATTTGTAACAGATACATAGGGGAACATGAAATTTTAATACAAATATTTCAAGATTTTTATTAGATACATCTAAGGCAATTATTATTATTTTTATAATTGTTTTTCATGTTAAAACACTGTAGCCTCTTTGAGTTTATTAATTACCTTTTCAGTAAATGAATGTTCAGGGTAAGGAACATTTGTATTGTTTTGGTTTTTGTTTTCTTGAGACAGGATTGCTCTGTGCAGCCCTGGCTGGCCTGGAATTTGCTCTCTAGACCAGGCTGGTCTCAAACTCACAGACATCCACCTGCCTCTGTCTTCTTAGTGCTGGGATTAAAGACATTTCCCACCACGCCAACATGAACATTTGTATTTGTATTACTAAAGCACAACTATGTGCTTTGTGCGTGTGAGATTTTGTTTAAAAAGAATCCCACTGTCATAAAAATTGAGAATTATTGCTTTAAGAAATTCAGTTGAACCATTTAAAAGAAAAGTTAAAACATATTTTAACTCTCAATTAGGTTCTAGACTTCCATTCTTTATTCATTACAATAACTAGTATTTGTACTCTTACCAATACATTTTTTGTATTTTTCTTAGTTTTTTTCATTCCTCAATGAATTACTTTACATGCACTTTTTTTTGAGTATATACGCTTAAGCTTTACCTTATAATCCAAATCTTCAAAACAATTGAAGACCACACAATGTTTACCATAGTTCTGGAAAACAAAATACTGTTTTAATATAGTTCTTGAGTTATACCATAAAATAAAGATGTTTAAACTGCCAGAGTAAGAAAAATATTTCTATTAAGCTTTTGAGAAAAAATTTAAAGTTAAAAAAAAAAATGAGTTAGGTACCAAGTTCAGAGATCCACAGAACTAACATGATATGCATGCCATTAACTGCTGTAGGAGAGTTGATTAATTTCCAGAGCTTCCGGTCATGATTTACACAACACCAAAACCAAGATGCCAATAGAGCAGAGTGAGAAACGATTGCTTCCCTCCCCCCACACTATTTACCGGTCAGCTCGTACAGTAATAGTCCAGGTAAGCGCAAAGATGACTGGCTAAGTAAGACCTTTCACCTGTCAGATATTCAAAATTTAATTGATGGAGTGCATCGTGTACTGAATGTGTTGGCAAATACGATGAACATTTTATTGTCGGGAACAGGGTAAACAAGATACAGTGGAAGCCTGTGTGACGCTCCGGTTACAGCGGCTACTTACTTTTGCTAGGTCTTTAACGGTCTCCGTTTTCCCTACACCTGCTGGTCCAGCAGCGCAGCCGCCCAGGTTGAAGTAGAGTGCTGCTGTCAGAGTCAGCCAGCACCGTTCTGTGAGGGGCGTGATGACCAGGCGTGGCGCACAGCCCAGGTACTCATAGCCATAAACAAAGTTGATGTTTCCTTGAGATACGTAACACAGCTTTTGCTTTTTATTCCATTTATAGTTCAAATGTCTGAAAGCAATACTCATATATTATTTGAGAAAAAACATTTTTTACATATAGAAACATCATCATTTTATAACAATTTAAACAGAACCATAACCCCTTGTGTTAAGAAGCAGTAATTAAAAATCTCCCCAAAAGTGAGCCCAGGTCCAGAAAGAGTCAGTGTAGAATTCTATCGGACTTTCAAAGAGGAAATAATGCCAGTACTCTTCAAATTATTCCATAAAATAGAAACTGAAGGAATATTTCCAAATTCTTTTTATGAAGCCCCTATTGCCTTGATAGAAAATCCATACATAGATTAAATAATAAAGAAAATTGTAGGCCAATACCCCTTACCAACATAGATGCAAAAAATTCTCAATAAAATATGTGCAAACCAAATTGTGGTGGTATTGTGTTCCCCAATATGTTGTGCACCCTAATAAACTTATCTGGGGTCAAAGAACAGAACAACCACTAGATACAGAGGCTAGAAAATGGTGGCATTCACACCTTTAATCCTAGCATTCCAGAGGCAGAAATCCTTCTGGATCTCTGTGAGTTCAATGCCACAATGGAAACAGCCAGGGGTGGTGACTATCACCTTTAATCCCAAGAAGTGAGCCTTTAATCCCAGGGAGTGATGGCAGAAAGCAGAAAGATATATAAGGTGTGAAGACCAGAACGAGAAGCTTTTAGCTGGCTAAGCTTTCAGGCTTTGGAGCAGCACAGTTCAACTGAGACCCATTCGGATGAGGACACAGAGGCTTCCAGTCTGAGGAAACAGGATCAGCTGAGGAACTGGTGAGGTAAGGTAGCTGTGGCTTGTTCTGCTTCTCTGATCTTCCAGCATTCACCCCAATAGCTGGCTCCAGGTTTGTTTTTATTAATAAGACCTTTTAAGATTCATGCTATACCAAACTGATCAAACTTACTTCATTCTGGAGACATAGGGACAGTGCAATATGCTTAAATCAATAAACAAAGTCTACCAAATAAATGGGTAAAGAGAAGCAAAGGAGTAGGCTGGGAGAGAACGCCTTTAGTGCTAGCACTTGAGAGCAGAGCTAGGCCAGTATCTGAGTTCCAGGACAGCCAGGGCTACACAGAGAAACCCTGTCTTGAAAAACTAATATAACAAAACAAAACAGAATACAAAAACAAACAAACAAACAAAAACAGATAAAAACATACGCAAAAAAAAAACAAACCCACACAATCATTCATTAGATGCAAAGATTCCTTGTCAAGATCTAATACTTCTTCATGGTAAAAGTCCTAGAGAGACTAGAAATGCAAAGGATATACTTCAACATAATAGGGTCAGTTATATCAAGCCCACATCCACCATCTTCCTAAAGGGAGAAAAACTCAAGCATTTCCACTAAAACCAGGAACAAGACAAGGTTGTCCACTCTCTCCATACCTACTCAATATAGCACTTGAAGTCTTAGCTAGAGCAATAAGACAACTGAAGGGGATCAAAGGGATACACACAGGAGAGGTAGAAGTTAAAAAAAAATCCCTATTTGTAGATGATATAATTGTATACGTAAAAGACCACAAAAACTCCACCAGGAAATGTCTACAGCTGATAAACACTTTCAGCAAATAGCAGTATACAAAATTAACACACAAAACCCAGTAGCCTTCCTATATATAAATGACAGACTGAGAAAGAAATCAGGGAAACATCATGTTTCACAATAGCCTCAAAAACATCTTGGGATAACTCTAACCAAGTGTGAAAGACTTCTATAAGAAAAACTTTAAGACATTGAAGAAAGAAACTGAAGAAGATATCAGAAGTTAGAAAGATTCCTCCATGCTCATGGATAAGCAGGATTAATATTGTAAAAACTAAAGGCAATCCTCAAATATTCCTCAAATTATTCTGAAAAATAGAAATGAAAGAACATTTCCAAATACTTTTTTTTGAAGCTACAATTAACCCTGTTTTTTTGTGTTAATATTATACTCTGCTACTTTGAGGAGTGTTTTATCAGCTGTAGAAGTTTCCTGGTGGCATCTTTAGGGCCTTTTATGCATAAAATCATAAAAGAAATACATAGATTTCACTGTAATCATCATAAAAATTCCAATATAATCCTTCACAGAAATAGAAAACAAACAAATAAACAACAACAACAACAAAACAACCTTCAACTTCATTTGGAAATCCAAAATCCCAGGACAGCTAAAGCAATCCTGAAAAATAAAAGAACTTCTATTATTACCTCCAATTTCTAGTCGTACTTTAGAGCTATGGTAATAAAAACTGATGATATTGGCATAAAAACAGACACTTTGATCAATGGAATAGAATTGAAGACACAGAGTAAATCTACACACGCACACACACTTGATTGACAAAGAAGCCAAAATTACACACTAGAGAAAAGCTAGCATTTTCAACAAATGGTGCTGGTCAAATTGATGGCTGCATGCAGAATTAAAATAGATCCATATCTATCACCCTGCAATTCCAAATGGATCAAGGCCAGATGCCCTGAATCTGATAGAATTGACAATAAGGCATTCACATGAGCTCATTGGCACAGGAAGGGACTTTCTGAACAGGACACAGATAGCACAGGCACTAAAGCCAACAGTTACTAAATAAGACCCCATGAAGCTAAAAGGCTTCTATATAGCAAAGGATCATTATTTGAGCAAAGTGGTAGGCCTACAGAATGGGGAAAAACTTTATCAATTACACATCTGCCAGAATAGGCAAAGAGCTAAAACACAAATGAACGAACAATAATGATGAGAAAAAATAACTCATTTAAAAATGGGATATAGAACTAAACAGCAAGTTCTTAAAAGATGAAACACAAATGAGGGAGAAATGCTTTTAAAAATGTTCAAAATCCCTAGCCATCAAGGAAATACAAATTAAAACTACCTTGAGATTTCATCTTACTCCTGTCAGAATGGGCAAGATTAATAAAACAAATGACAGCAGATGCTGGTGAGGCTGTGGGAAAAGGGGAAAACTCATTTACCGCTTGTGGGAGTGCAAACTGGTACGGTTGATAGGCACTGAAGAAACTTGTTATGGAGTTTGCTTACAATATGGAAAAAGCTAGCCATTTGAGCAAGAAACTGTTCTTGCCTGGACTGCTTGACAGTATGTTGTATAACCTGGACATTCAGGACCTATAGAAAAGTGACCACTGAACTTTGCCAAAACAAGGTGGGATGGTCCTTTAGGTTCCTGCATCACAGAAGAAACTGCCAGACATTCTGTAGGACACAGAGAAAAGTGACTGATGAATTTTGTCAATAGGCAGAACAGACCTTCAAATTTCCTGCTTCACTGAAAAGTCTGCCAGATACTCTAGGCCTATAGGCTGAAGATGGATGGCCCAGTGTTACAAAAGAACTTTGGATGACTGTCCAGAAAGCCAGATGTCTCTCTCATTTCTAGAAGTATGGCAGTTGCTTGCAATGCACTTCCTGTTTACTCAGATAATATATCCTTCTGGGGTCTTTGATGGAGCTGAAGACTAGATAGTTATAATTATAGTTTTCCTTAGTCATAATAAAAGATAAATTAGATATAAAACTTTAGACTCACAAAAATAGGATAGATATAGAATATTTTCTTTAATTTTGCCTAATACAACTAGACTAGATATTGTGACTGTAATTCTTGATAACTGTTTCATTATATATAATTTTACTATGTTAAAATGAAAACCTTCCTTTTTGATTAGACAAAAAAGGGGAAATGCTATGGGACAGTCTTTCTGTGTGCTGTGAACATATGTTGCTACTATTAGTTAATAAAAAAAAACGCTGCTTTGGCCTATGGTAAGGCAGGATAAGAGCCAGGTGGGAAATCCAAGCAGAGAGACAGGAAGAATGGCAGAGTCAGGGCAGACAGCATCCAGCAAGGAACAGATGTCAACAGACTGGTAATGCCATGGCCATGTGGCAAAATATAGATGAATAGAAATGGATTAATTTAAGATGTCAGAGCTAGCTAGCAATAAGCCTGAGCCATAGACAAAATAGTTTGTAATTAATAATAAGCCTCTATTCATTTATTTGGGACCAAGAGGCCGTGGGACAGAGGAAAACTTCCGGCTACATATGGAAGTTTTACTATGTAAATTAGTGTGGCATTTCCTCAAAAAAGCTAAAAATTCATCTACTACAAGATCCAGCTACACCACATTTGGGTATGTTTTTCAAAGGAGCCTACAACTTACTACAGAGATACTTTGTCATCTATGTCCTTATCAGAGAAGTTTCTTCTTTGGGTAGATGGTAATTAACACAGAGACTCACAACTAGACAATGTATAAAGAGAGAGTGAGAGACTTTGGAGCACTCAGCCCTACATTCGATGGCTTTATCAAACCCCTCACTTTAAGGCTTGCGATCTAGGTAGAAGAAGCAGTAGACAGATTGTAGGGACCAGAGGTGGTGAGTGACTCCCAGGAAACTGTCTTCCAGACACAACAGGCTTTATACATATATGAACTCACAGAGACTGTGACATCATACACAGACCTGCACGGGTCCAAATCCAGACAAAACCCCAGTACTGAGAAGGGCAAGTGGATACAAAGTCCTGCCCCTAACCAAGAACCTATTTGTGATTACCTCTAAGAAAGGGAAAATCAGTTTTTTCCAATGGAATTACACTGGGTATATCAACAACATTCTAGGGCACAGGAGTAATTGGCCAACACAAAACAAAGTCCATACTTTTGTGTGCTTTTTGTTTATTAATTTTTTGTCTTACTGTTTTTTGTTTTTCTGTTTTGAATTTTGCTTTTTTTTGAGAGGGGGGAGAGTGAGAGAGAGAGAGAACATCAAGTTAGGTAGGTAGGGAAGTGGGGAAGATCTAGGGGAAGGCAAAGAATATGATTAAAATATAGTGTATAAAAATAACAAGGCAAGCAAAAAAACCAAAGTATTAAAATAAGGGGAAAGTTTACTCATGACTGTATTAGATATTAGAAACCACAAGTTACAAACTTATGATAATCTAGTAATCTTGACTTTACATCTTTTACAGTTTAGCGTTGTTTTGCTTTTGAACACAAGCAGAAGCCGACAAAATCCAGACTCACTAGGAGCCTTGTGGCCATTTGGCGCCCCTTTGAATGTCCCTTCTCTCATTACACTTAGAATTTATACTGTGAGGTAGTTGTTTGTATGTCATTATTCACACCTCTAAATCCCTTCTGGAACAGCAGAGCAGGTTATGAAGACATTAACCGAGTTGATTTTCAAAATAAAATTTAAGATAAAAGCAGTTTAAAACTATTTGTATGCTGCCACTTTGCAAACTCCTAGATGAGAGAACACATTACTGTAGGTAAAACCCGAAAGCCTTCTCACTTAATCTGAGAGACCTGTGCTGAGTCTTGCCTCCGCAGGAGCAGCAGCTCTTTCTCTACGCCTTCGCTAACTCACTTCAAGAGGCAGCAGGAGTTTCTGAGTTGGCTATGAATGTTCTTCTCTTTCTTTTATCTTTACATTGGTAGCACAGGGGGAGAAGAAGCACCCGGGACACCTCTCATCACTACTGCTGAGACCTGTTCCTGGGCTTAGCGACAACAGACCAAACACACATACCATATGGAAGAACACCATCATTGGGGGAAGACAAGGCACGGAGAAACAAGGGAGGGGAGGAAGAGGACCAAGGAAGCAGGGGGAAGACCGTGATGCTTAGGGGAGCAAAACATCCTTCAAGTGCAAAAGGAGATGGACACAGTTTGCAGCAGAGAACCTAGCGGTCTATATGTGAGAAGCTGTTGTATGTAGTTGTAGTTTTCAGCCACTGACCTCGTCCATTCGAAGTCCTCTGCACTGGAGATGTTCTTAGCCAGCAGATCTGTCACGACGTCTCTGCAGTGAACAGAGATGGTCAGCACAGCCGCCAGCATGGCTTTCGTGCGCAAGTTGCTGGTATTCAGTGTGACCAGCACGGCCAAGTTGTTCATCTGACCCAGCAAATTTTTATGAACTGCTTCTAGCTTTTCTCTTGAATTAGAGCTTATAAGACCTTTCACACAGTCATTATAAAACATGATCTGGCTCTGGAAAAAAAGAGAGGGAGACACATGTTAATAGATGCATACAGTTTTGTTTTTTAATTAAAATGTTTCCATGAATTTAATGTTACAGATCTATAGGGTGATTTGTGTGTAAAGGAAAACACATAAAGCTTTGAAAGCTGAAGGCTGAATTCTGATGGATGCTTATGACTATATTTTTTAAATCTTATATTTTAAAAATTTGCTGTATTTTTCATGGCTTCATGTATGTACATAGTGAATTACATACACGTCACCTCCCAGTCCCCTCTCTCCCCATCCTTTCCTGCTGAAGTCCCCCCTCTTCCTCCAAAACCCCATCCTGCTTTCACGTTTGTGTGCCTGTGGGTCCCACTGGATTTACTTAGGGCTGCTTGCGTGGGGAAATGGCGGAGTGCTCAGCCCTAAGCGGGTCATCCACATCACCCCCTCCACGGCTCAGGGAACGTCAAGGAAGGAGGAGAGATCATGCAGGAGCCGGAAGGGAGGTGTGCTGTAACAAAAAGTCTTCTGAGCGTGACCTGGCCCTCGCACTCATCAACTCACTGCATAAGAGCCCACGAGACTGGGCTCATGAACCTTTCATCCCGAGGGGAAGGGGGAAGGGCTCACAAGGCCCCGTCCCTCCCCGAGGGACTCCTGACAGTCAATGGTGGGTTCAGGAAAGGGTGTCACTTTCCTCAGCAGTATATGTAGCTTGTGGTCCACGCTCCAGGAAATAAACCTTACATTCCTAATACATGATCACCACATAATGATCTGAGCACATTAACAATGATGGAAAACCCAAGATTAACTTAGTGTTGTCTTCTCCACTAAAGTAATGCTCCCAGCACAGAGTGTGTATCGTTGTAGTTTTAAAAATGATGTAACTTCTATTATCTGACTCATCTGTCACACTCTTTCTCCCCAGACATATGAGAGCTGTGCAAAGAGGCTGGGATAAGGTCAGGTGACTGTGGAGATTAAAGGCAGGCAGGCAGGCATCAGGAAAGCTTCTGAGTTTGGAAAATCAGGTCGATTGTGACTTCAGTGTCTTTTGGAAGAGGGTCGTATTTGGATAAGGGGGCATCATGAACTCACTTTGCGCTATGCTGAATTTAAAGTGCTTAAAAACATCAATAGAGCTATACAGATATGTAATTGGGAATAATTAGCATAGAGGCGATACATATTGTAGTGATCGATTTGCAGGTTAGAGGGTAGGTGGTAGAAGCCTGGTGCATCCATCCACATCCCTTTTAGCACACAACAGAAACTAACTTTAAAAAAAGTGTTTCTTTAATTTTGTAAGTTTATAACATAATTACGGCATTTCCCCCTCCCCGTCCTACCTCCAAACTCCCCATATACCCCTCCTTGCTCTATTTCATTCACGGTCTCTCTCTTTTTTTCATTAGTTGTTGTTACATACATACATGTATATTCATATATATTCCTAAATACAAAAATACAGTCTGCTCAATCTGTATGCTGTTACTTGTACATTTCCAGGGCTGACCACTTGATACTGAACAATCAGTTGTTGTGCTCTTCCCTGGGGAAGACTATTTAGAAACTTCATAATCAGCAGATTGCTGTGGAATGTCTCTCTGTACGCTGTGAATATGTGTGGCTCCCACTGGATAATAAATAAAGCTGCACTGGCCTATGGCAGGGCATGATGGAGCCAGGTGGGAAAATCCAAAAGAGATCACGAGAGAAGAAGGGTGGAGGTGAAGAGACGAGCCACTGCCCAAGGAGCAACAAGATGCCAGCAGACTGGAAACCGCCACGGCCGTAAGGCAACATACAGATTAATAGAAATGGGTTAAGATAAAAGAGCTAGTAGCAAAAATCTGAAGCCATAGGCCATACAGTTTGTATTTAATATAAGCCTCTGAATTATTGTTTTATAAGTGGCTGTGGGACTGTGGGGCCAGATAAGACCAGAGAAACTTCCGGCTACCGCAGCTCAGTGATTGGCTGGAGAAGGGGGATTGGGAAACAGGCAGGAAAAACAACTAAACAGTCAAGATTTCCACAGCCCACAGGGTGGTTAATGGATTACAGCCTCCAGCGAGAACATCCACGGTGAGGGAATACCGTGGATCATATTTAAAATTTTTCCACTTATATACTTATGTCAGAGCATGGTCCAGGAACAGAGCCATGCCAGGAGAATTCACTTGTGAGAACATTCCAAGAAAACAAGACAAGAGTCTTGTGACCTCTGTTTCTTCAAAACACAGAATTGTTCTTAGAATGTTTCTTCATGTTCCTCTCCAGGTATAGTGGATAAGAGTGAATTTACTTCACACTACTCATTTTCGCTTGTGCTGATATTCAATTAAATGTTTAAACTACTCTTTATTTTCTCTGTGGGAAAACATGTTTTTTCCACATGTGGCTTGTCCTTGTGGTTGTATACAGCTTGAACTCCTGAGGACTTTACTCTTAACCCTCAAAGTATAAATTGTCTGGGGCTCTACAGTCAGTTATTGCATGAGACTTTAGTCTGCCCCCTTTTATTGGCTTCATTCTCCAAGGTCCCTCCACCTCTAGAATGGTGACACACTTATTTATAGAGGAATTACTAATTGCTATATCATGGACAAATCTATACAGAAAATCTCTTTGTGGCCAATATATAGAGCTATCTCTCAAAAATATCTTTTTATGTTTATTCAGAGACAACTCTCTGTGGAGGTTCAAGAGAACTAAATTCAAGTGAGCTGTAAATTGCACCCTGAGGTGAGAAATAAGCCATAGGTAAGGTAGATGGAGGTGGGGGAACCTGGGCAAAAGTACATTCAATGACTGAAGATAAAAGCCTACTCTAGAGTCATTCTAAGAGCAGAATGCAGCGTGCTGCTCACTGTTAAGCACACTTGGGCCACCAGAAACCTGGGAAAGAGCTTCTCTTAAGGCAAATCAGACTATTTGAATTTGTCAAACTACAGAAATGTATAGAACCTCCTATAATTTTGTCTCCTTTGTATAAACACCAGCCTTTCAACTTAAGACCTAGCATTTACTTAGTCAAGAGGAGAGCAAAATGTCTGTTTACAGCCCTAGGTGACCTTAATGAAGACTTGAAAATTGTGGTGGGTCAGGCAAAGTAGAAAACGGGGACTTATTTTTAAATAAGAGAACTATAGGTCAAGTATGCTTTCTGCGATACTTAGTGGTTGCTATGGCAAAGGCTTCCTCTCTCCAGATAAACCAGTATCCAAGGTTCACACTGACCCTAATGACTGACAAGTAATATAGTTTGAGACTGTGTTAGTGACATTGGTCATGGTTGCAGGAATTTGATCACACTGTGAACCCCTAGATTACATGATTTATTGGAAAAATCTAGTTCTAGCTGTGGTGTGGCTCAGCCCTAGCACACATCTTTAATTCAAGAGCTTTCTGCTTGAATATTGTAAACATGATTAAATAAAATCAACCAGAAGTCAAGAGGTGGAGCAAGCAGCCAGCTGACAGGAAGTGAACACAGCATTATTTTTTTTAAAAAAAGCATATAGGGAGTCAGGAGAATGGAGAGAGAGACACACAGAAAGTGGAGGGGAGGGACCTGGAGTGAGAGAGGACTTGATTGACATAGTAGGAGAGAAGGGGCTTCTGGGATGATGGTGGAAGAGGATGGCCAGCTGGGTGCTTGCTCTGCCTCTCTGAGCTGGCATCTAGTTCCAGAGCCTTTATTGGCAAAATGGGATGATTGAGATTTTTTTTAAAAAACAACACTTGTCATGACAAAATGCCTGACAAGAAGCCACTTAATAAGGAAGGATTTGCCTTGGTTCATGGTCTGAGGGTTCATGGTCTGAGGGTTCATGGTCTGAGGGCATGGCTGTCATGTCAGGAAAAAGCACAGTGTGGGAGGGGTGACAGCTCTTGGCCGTGGGGGTCAGGAACAAGAGGCTGCTTGCTCTCGGACAGACAGAGAAAGAACAAGGACCAGCTTCCTCTAGGCAGGCACCCAGCACCTCCAGCTGGGACCAAGTAGTGTGGTGGGAACATTTCCCATACACACCGCAACACAGATCTCTAAATTAGGACCACCCTCTTTTCTTAGGACCGTTTGCTTTTTCTAGTAAAAGATCAAAGAAACAAATGAAAAGTCATCTTCTCGACTCCACGCTAATCTCCTGCTTCCTGCTCTGCCCACCTCACGCCTTCACAGTCTTTGCCGTGGGCTCATCTTTCATCAATTCCCCAAATATTATTCCCCTTGGGGTTTCTCTGTCTTCTCTTATTTCACACACTCTGCTGAGGGAGATTTCAAAATTTCTTAGAACAACTGAAAATTTTGGTTTCCTTAGTATCATGTTTTCTAATTTTCCTTCTTAAAAAATTTTCCTTTTAAAAAATTTGTTTCTGAGCCGGGCGGTGGTGGCGCAC